TTCCTCCTCCTCTTCCTCTTCCTCCTCCTCTTCCTCCTCCCCTGCCGGGATCCACCCGCCGCCCGGAGGGTGCGAGCCCCGGGGCAGACGGGGGTCACAGCCGGGCTTTGCTCTGGCTTTGTTCGCACCACCGTCCCCTCAGAGAAATAAAGTGCTTTTTACACCCAGCCCCTCCCAGTCACATCCTTCTCTGCCCCCCACAAAAGGGAGATGAGGGATTCCCAGTGGCCTGGCACAGTGCCTTGGAAAGTGCCCGAAACTGAACTCATTAGTTGTTTAAAATCGCCTTTCCAGGAAGAATTTGTTGTATGCAGAAAGCTGGTTTGTTTTTCACTTAAATCAGTTTTGTTGGGATTTCTTTTTACTGCATTAAGCCTGGCTTTATTTATAATTATCTACTATTAATAGCCAGACATGGAAATAAATTACATATTTTTTAATGACGACTAACTTTCAGTGCAATGCCCCAAAACTCAGGCAGGCTAGCAGGGCTGTTACCCCTTGGAGCTGCCAAGGTGGGGTCAGGCAGCCTGGGGATGACTCTCCCTGCAGACCAACAATACAGATTTTATCCAATCTCCCAGTCCTTTCCTGGTATTCACCAGAATGGCACCAAGATCTGGACTTAAATAGAAAATAACAATTGTTTGTGCAAGGATGAAATGCTGGAAGCATCATAATGAACTAGGCTGTGACTCCTGCTTGATGAAGACACGTGATTGGATATGGAAATGTCTATTTTCAGTAGGATCAATAACCAACTCTCCCTGTCTCTAGGCTTACCACTCCACTTTAATGGACTCAGACACCAAGCTAATTGGGAACATGGCACTGTTACCCATCAGAAGCCAGTTCAAGGGCCCAGCACCTCGAGAAAGTAAGTTAATAATAATCTCTGAATTACTGGATGTAGCTCATCATCTCAGGGGTTGCTCTGAGCCAGCCCCAGCAAGAGTCACTGGTGGGAAATGGAAAGCTTTGCAGAAAGGGGGGAAGTTTTCAACAACTTCAGCTGTGCAAATGGTAGAAAATAATTATGCACAGATAATCGTGCCCCGTGTTGAGTTGGTGGTTTCAGTAACCCAAGCCTCTGGCTGCTGTTCTGGTGCCTCCCCTGTGCTCTGAGCAGGGTTTTGAGGAGGCTGAGCTGGTGTGAAGCCTCTGTCAGAGGAAGTGGAGGTTTGGCTGCAGAGAGCTCACGCTCTGGGCTGCCCTGAGGGACAGCAGCACTCAGGGTGTGGGGCTGCAAAAAACAGAAACGAAATCCCGACCCCAACAGGGCCCACAGGCAGCCAGGACAGATTCCCCTTCAACACCTGAACTTCCAGCCGTGCTGTTCCCCAGAAATGTGGGTTCAGTTTGAGCAGGGAAATGTAAAGGAAATGTTTCTGGATTTAAGCAGTCTTGGATGGTAGCAAAAGTCAGATTGTCACTGTGTTCTGCTCCCCTCCTTTATTTGAAGAGGATAATGGAATCTGAGTGATTGTGCTTTCTCCAAAAGCTTTTTTATATCATTTTATGATGTTAAAACTCTGATGAGTTACTCAAAAGTGGTAGAAAAGTGGGGAACTGCTGAATTGCTGTTGGTGAAGTGACAGAGGGGAAGGAGAAGGGAGTAGGAAGCTTAAATATTACAGTCTGAACTCAGGGTGTTTCAGAAGTTTCTGTTATGTGGTGCTGACTTCTCCTTTTTGTAAATACCACGGTTTTGCTTTTGCAGTAATCCTTATTTATGTACTTCAGTGAGTAGAAGTTCTGACAAATGTAATGTAACAGTGCACTGCTTAACTCTGTATCTCTTTCTTATAGCTAAGGACACAGATATTATAGATGAAGCCATCTACTACTTCAAAGCTAATGTTTTCTTCAAAAATTATGAAATTAAGGTAATTTTTTAAGATACTGAGCATATTCTAGTTCTTTGGAGGGTTGGTGCTGTGAATATAAATTTATTTTCAAGGAAGTAATTCCAGAAGATCACAAACTGCCCTCCCACTTAATCTTTAAAGTTGGGTAAATGTCATGAATTGCAAATCTCTCTCTCATGGGGAAACTATAGCCCAAAATGGCTTGAATTCATTCCTGTTTCAGGCTTTATCAGTTCCACAAAGTCCTGTAATCTAAGAGTTCCTGCTCTTGTTTTGCAGAATGAGGCTGACAGAACACTGATCTATGTCACCCTCTACATTTCTGAGTGCCTGAAAAAGCTGCAGAAGGTAAGAAAACTGAATTCCTGTGCAGGTGGGAAACAGTCTGAGGGTTGTTCTAAGGAAAGAATTTCCTGATATTCTCCTTCCAGGGGAAAAAATAATCCTGGAAGGAGATTTCTCATGGACCCCAGTCCCAATTGTCAGAGCTTCAAATATTCCAAGGCTGAGGATGTGCTGTGTTGCTCTTCTTGATTAATTTTCCTGTTCCAGATTTGTAAAATATTTGATTCTAATTCTCTGTCAGCTTTTGTTCATAACTGCTAACCCATTGTTTGCCTGGTTCTTCCAGTGTAACTCCAAAGGCCAGGGAGAGAAGGAGATGTACACACTGGGAATCACCAACTTCCCCATCCCAGGGGAGCCTGGCTTTCCTCTGAACGCCATTTACGCCAAACCTGCCAACAAGCAGGAGGAAGGTAAGGCTGACCCAGGGCCTCTGAGGGTCACACTTCATTAACTTTAAACCCAAATCTTCTAAATCTGCAGTCTGTCTTCTGAAGGCAGCACAAGCTGGATTTTCTGACCTCGAGGATTCCCCTGGTTCCATAGATAAATGGAGCTAATCCACTCAGCCAGCTGCAGCCTGCAGATGTGAAACTCCCTCTCTGCTTTAAGCAGTGATGCCTGAGGTGTCCCTGTTAAACCCAGTTTGGTTGGTGCTGCCCACTTCACCCTGGTTTTGCTGTGCTGCTTTCAGAGGTGATGAGGGCCTACCTGCAGCAGCTGAGGCAAGAAACCGGCCTCCGCCTGTGTGACAAAGTGTTTGATCCTCAGAGCGACAAGCCAAGCAAGGTGAGAGCTCAGTGCCATCACACAGAGTCAGGGAGAGGCTGGGGGTGTTTGTTCAGCCTCGTGTGCAGAGAAGGGAGATGATGGGTGAGGGTGACTCCCGCCAAGCCTGACTGAATTTACAGTGAAATGGCAGCTGCAAGTTATCAGGAAATGTAATCTGATGTGATGTGACAGTGAGTGCCATTTCAAAAGCAGGGCAGTAATGAGAGGGGTCTGGCTCAGCTCTTCAAAGCACTGCACATCTGCTCGTGCCTGGGGTTGCAAAAGGAGTTCACAAGCACGGGAGCTGCTGTTTCTCTTCCCAGGCAGCTCTGCTTTGAGAGGTGCTTTGAAGTCGATTGTTTTGCCTCATGTCCAGATTGAAAAAATCGCTAATCAATGAATGAGTCACCTCCTGAGTGTTCGTGTTTCATGTGCAAATGTGACTGCATTTCATGTTGAAATCACTTAGGCTAATTTACTTTCAAAGGCATAGCTTCCTGATGCATCCCTCATTTATGATTGGATTGGAATAAAATATAACAAAAGTAAAATAACACAAAGTAGTTTCACATATTAATTCAAAATCCTGTAATATGAACTCATTGTGTCCATTCCTATTGTCTTGTTCACCTCAATTCAAGTGTGGAAAACTATCTGTAAAACTGGAGCCTTAATATTTGTTGTGTGTCAGAGATTGAATACTTTAAAGTCAATGGGAACCACTTCTGATTTTCTGACTCTCTACTTCCTTCTGCAGTGGTGGATCTGCTTTGTGAAGAGGCAGTTCATGAACAAGAGTCTCTCAGGCCCTGGGCAGTGAAGCAAAGTGGCAACAACTTTAACCATTTCCACAGCAAGATGTTTGAGTCTTTTGCCTTTGTTTTGGATACATTTTGTACCAAGAAAGAATTAAGTGCTTATGAATTAAAAAAAAAAAAAAAAAGAAAAAAACCAAACCTGTCAATGAGTGATAGAGGGAGAGCAAAAAGATAAGTTGTGTAAGCAAATATTATTAAGCTGGTGCTTAATAAGTGATTTCTAACGTGCTGTTTCAGATGCAAGCTGCTTTGTAATCATGGCTACAGCATTTAAAACAGGGCTTGTATTTAAGAGAAGAAATGAAGAAATGGGCTTGGCTGTGGGGCACGGGAGCTGTGTCATTGCTCTGCTGGCTGGAGTCGGTGTCGTGTGTCCAGGGAAAACAGACCTCTCACGCTGTGTTGTCCAGTGCAGTGATTTTTACCTTGTTTTCAATAAAATTTGCTTGTAATTAACGTGGTAACTACTGTGTGTCTTATGGAGAGCCTTCAGAGAAATCAAAGGTTTTTTCTTCTTGGTGAAAGGCTTTGGAGTGACCCAATTGTCACCGTCCAGGACTTGAGGGGAGCCACCAAGAGCCTGGAGTGCCAGGACAAGGTGGAATGTCTTCACACTGACACAGGGCAGCTTTTGATTGGATTATGGGAAAAAATATGAGGAAATGTAGGTTTTGAACGGTCTTTTTCCTCCTTTAACAATTTTTATAGGCAGGAGCGTCGTTATCTCAGAGACCTCAGACACATTTAGCTGCAGCAACCATCAGCGTATTGGCAGAAGGACAACGGGCGGCTTCGGGAGCTATGGAGGCACGGGGAATATGTGTCCCGCACCAGAGCACCCACAGAGAAACGAATTAATTATTAATTAATTAAACGGCCCTGCCCATAACCGCTCTGCCCTCACGCCGTCCCC